GTGTGTGTGTGTGTGTGTGTGTGTGTGTGTGTGTGTGTGTGTGTGTGTTAGGGAAGTTATTGATCACAGTTGTGCTGAGCTGGGATATGAGCTCCACAGAGCACCAACACACCCTCTCACACACACAAGCCTCTCAGAATGGATCGGCCTTTCAGGCAGCTGAGCTCATTGATCATCTCTCATTTTTAGAAAAAWTTGTTCCTCTGATGGAGGAACAGGAGACACAAACCCCCTSGGGTTGTGATTTCAAAATGCACAACAGAGAAAGATTTCTAACAAAGTGTTGATGCAAAAGCATTGTGCACAGAAACATTTTCAGTAGATGTTGAGTTTGTTGCTCAGGGCTGCAGTTAACAGGCATTTTTATTTAAAACCTGCTCAGATCAATGAACATTTTGTTGTTGAAATACTTTAAATGATGAGGAAAGTTGTTCAAATATGTTACCTCTCAGGTACACCACAATTAAGACATAAACTATTTATTCCTAAGAAAAAAATATTTTAAAAGTATACATTTAAAATAAAAATATGCATTATTTATTAAATGAACACTTAGAAGCTGATTCATCAAGATAGCAGGTAACCAGTTCAAAATAACTGTAGTGACTGAAAGGTACATAAAGGTGAGCTCCATTAAATGTGAATATTATCAGTGTGTAATTATTATAATTCAGGCTGGATTTAGAGAAAGATCAGAAAGGAAAAAAACTCTGCCACACAGTTATGCATAACACGGAAAAAATAAGCACCACAGCTGAAATGGAGTTTATATTTCTTTTTTAAGTTGCTGTGCTGCAGTAATATATTTTTCATTTATATTAAAGTTGAATAATGTCACACTGTAGAGCAGAGCAGATAACAGCGCAGACTGTTTGCACCTGACTTTCAAACATAGTAAATATAGACACTAAAACAGCAGCACAGCCAGTTTCAAGGTTTGARAAATCACACAGCGGGTGTAAAATAATTATATCTGCATGTCCTCCGCCCAGTATTTTGAGAGATCTGGTAATCATATATTCTGCATATTCATGAGGYCAGACACGTGAAATGGGTTCTGGCTGCTGTTTTCACCTGAGAGACGCAATCCTTGATGCTCACCYWTAATAAATCAGCTTTGTGTGCACTGTTAACTTTGTGCATCATACATACTAATCATTGATACATCAAATCTTTATGATTAATGTCTCAATTTCTTAATGATTGGCTCTAAGTAACACCAGATAGAATAAATTATTTATATTTGTGTGTGTGTGTGTGTGTGTGTGTGTGTGTGTG